GCGTCACTCTCCACGTATCTGTGAGAACACTCGGTCTATAAGATTCTTTAGCACCTTTTCTTGTGCATGGTCTTTATCCTCCTAAAGTGCCCCTAATCAGTAGGTGCTCCCTGAAGGATGACTACACCTCAGCACCCTGTACGCACCTGCCAGCTTACCCTTGGACCACTCTGAGTCCCCTGGAGCCTTCAATCCCACCAGCAACGTGGCCTTGCACCTGGTCCACTGTTTGCACAGGTAGAGGTGGTTCTGAGACCCACCCTTGACCTTCACTCCCATAACGACCCACACTCCTCAACTTGGGGGCAGTGTGCACATTCTCCCAGTTGCTGAGTACGTCTATTCAGTTACCAGGTCTGGTGTTCAGGAGCTCACTCAGAGGTCAGGGGCCCACTGGGTCACTACAAGACTGACCTGGGTCATATCCATGCTCACTGGTCTCCATGAGCTCACTCACACCACTGGACCAAAGCACCATGTTGACCTGCTGGTCACCCTGTCTGCTCAGAACAGTATTCAGGACTCTTCCTAAAGTCTCATGAACCCTTCTTCATGCAGACAAATTGGTACTGGTGTCAGCATCCTTGAGAGCAGGAGAGTCAAGACCCATCCTGAAAGATGTGGGCAGCACAGCCAGATCCTCCTTCTTTCCTCAAGTGTGTGCTGGGACACCCTCCCTTCCAGGGCTGGGGGGTTTTGATCCAGCTCCATTTTGGACACTAACTGATGTCCATGACATCGCTCGTGTTGGGTAATGTTCTAGTTCACTTTTCTGCTGAAGGGCTGGACCTTGCTTCCTCCTTCAGTAAAAGGGAAACCAGAGGCTGCCCATCAGTTTCAGTCCAAGGAGCAGTGACGACCTTGCCAACACCCAAGGTCTGAGAGCCACACTATTCCGATGGTCCCTCAGGTCTGCCTGCCCGCTCCTGGATCCCCTCACTCAGTTCTGTGACAGCACACACTTACTGGAAGCTGGCCCTATGTCAAGCCCTGATTGTGGCATTTGAGTCCAGGGAGGAATAAATATGGCAAGACCCTGCTTTTATAACCTCAGATTCTTTTCTGAAGACAGAAATAATTGACAAATACCAAATCCACAAAGTCAGGGGCTGGGGCTGGGGTCAGTGGTAGAGTGTGTGCTAGCAGGCGAGAGGCCCTGGGTTCCATCCTCTGCATGAGGAGGAGGAGGAGGAGGAGACGGAGGAGGAGGACAAGGAGGACGGGGAGGGAGAGAGGGAGGGGAAGGGGGAGGGGGAGGGGGAGGAAGAGGGGTGTTCACCACCCTCTCTCTGCCACCAGCCCTAGAGGAGGAAGACGCAAGTCCCTCTCCCTCTCCCTCCACATCACGGCCACCTTCACTCCCATAACTACCCACATTCCTCAACTCTGGGGGGCAGTGTCCACCCAGGGTCCACCCACCATGAGTGCCGGCCCCTCCATATCTAGATCTGGGGCAGGAGGACCAGAAGACAGAGCTTCCACCTGAGGGATGAGGACTCAGCACCAAGAGGGGACACCGGGGACCCTGTCTGGGGTCACAGTGTGAACGAGCCCAGTTGTGTGAAACCAGAAGAAGAGCTGGGGACCCATCAGGCTCAGAGCGCCCTGGATGAAGAAGCTCCACTGAGGTCACTACTAGAGCTAGAGAAGACGGACAGCTCTGGTGCCACTCCCAGGACAGTCCATCACCACAGGCTGAGGGGCCCTTGTCCCCGCCTCCTTTGCCAGGTCAGACCAAGGGCTGGAGTGAAGTGGTCATGGTGGCTGCGTCGTGCATTCCTGAGCAGCACCTTTCTGTCCAGCAGGGCATCCTCAGGTCGAGCTTGGGCTAAGCCCTAGACTGGGGTCCCCAGCAGCTGGGAAGGAACCCCAAGCCACAGTGATGCGCTGCGGGTGCGCCCAGCAGCCTCCACTCACAGTCAGAACAGAACCAGGCAGACGCAGGGCCACCACCTGTCTGTGCCAGAGGCACTGGGTCCCGGGTCTAGCAGGATCCATCCCATGCCAGCAGGCAGTGCCCCCAGGTTCCTCCACTCCTGAGCCCAGAGGAGGCGCCCTCCCTGGATGGTCCTCCGCATGAAGGCACAGGCAGAGACGGCCTCACTTAGCTCACGCTCTGAAGGCTTTCCAGAGTCCCTGTGTGCACGCAGGTCAGGGGACCTGTGCTGGGGACGAGGGCTTCCCTCATGGGGGCTTTGCTGTCACCTGGGAGAGGCCTTGTCTCAGATTGGAGTGTGGGGCTGGGGGACAGCCTGGGCTGGGATGAGGGTGTCCCTCTGTGGTCATCATGGGGAAAGCTACCGGTGCCTGGTGCATCCCCTGGGCCCTGTGAGTGAGGACCCCTGTGTCCTTATTTGCTATGGCCACCTAACAAAAGGCCCAGACTGAGGGTTTGGCAGCAGGAACTGCCCATCTCAGTGCTGGAGGCTGACGTCCTGACCCAGGTGTGGGCAGGGCTGGCCCTCTGAGAGGGTGAGGAAGGGTCTGGGGCCCCAGGCCCCTCCTTGCCTTGCAGGTGGCCGTCCCTGGGTGTCTTCACATCACCTTCCCACTGTGCGTCTGGGTACACGGCTCTCTTTTCCATGGGGACACAGTGGCATTGGGTTAGGGCCCACCCTAAAGACCTCTTCATAACTTGCTTATCTCTGTAAAGACCCTGTCTCCAAATAGGTCACCTCTGAGGTACTGGGGGCAAGGACTCTGTTATGTGAATTTGTGGGGGTCACATTCAGCCCTGACACTAGGGCTGGGGTCCTGGGTGAGGCTGAGGGAGCGGGCTCTGTGGACCACGATGGCTTCTTGGGGCGGCTCGAGGGCCTTGGGAGAGGCCCCTGGTGGGGCCTTCGGGTGAGGAATCTGCCCCTGGGCCGCTGGGTTCCACTATCCCCTGTGCCTTGAGCCTCTCTGGCGATGGGGACACCCTATATGGGGCGGACTCTGGCATGTTGAGATTGTCCTTCCTCTAGGAAGCAGGTGGGTTAATAAAGGGAGACAGTTACCTGTGGTCCCCAATCCAAGGACAGGGCGTGGGAACCCCTTCCAGGTTCAGTCTGCAGCTCTGGGTCCAGGAGGCTCTGGGCGAGACGCCCTGCAGCTCCAAGTCTCTTTCCTACCTGCCTCCTGGACTTTCCTCTCTCAATAATAGACCAGGAGGAAAGTGGCCCTCAGCCTCCTCATAGGTAGAGTCCTGATGGGATGCCACGGGGGGCTCAGTGTCCCCCACTGCAGAAGCCACCAAGGCACGGCCATCTCCCCACCTGTAAGTGCCACCCCACCCAGGAGTGAGCAGCATCAGCCTGAGGCCACGACATCTGGGCAGTGGAGAAGAATCCCACCTCCCAGCAGGCAGGAGCTGGCAGTGTCCCCTTCTGCAATGAGAAAACTGAGCGAGGACACACCTGCCACTCAGGCTCCGACCTTCCCAGCTGTGGAGGCCCATTGCCACAGGCAGGGGACCTCCCTGCTGTCAGGCGCCTCTCACCCACCTCCTGCCCCTGGCCACCTGTGGAGGGGTCCCTGGCAAGTGCCTGTGTCTCAGAGTGGATACTAGGACAGTGTGGGGAGAGGCCTCTCAGGTCCTGCCATCTCACAGAAGTCACAGGCTCTGCTTAAGGTCATTTGGTGGCAAGTGGACAAGCCACATGAGCATCTAGCCTCCTGCTTCTTTGTGTTATTCTGGGCACTTGAGCCTGCAGCAATCTCTTTGGGATCATGGGGCCAGGTGTGGTGGCTCATGCCTGTAATCTCAGCAATGTAGGGGGCTGAGACAGGAGAGCTGCAAGTTCAAGGCCAGCCTCAGCAACTTAGTGAGACTCTGTCTCAAAAAAAAAAAAAAAGAAAAAAAGAAAGAAAAATGACTGGGGATCTGTCCAGTCCTCAGTGTGTGTGAGTGTGTGTGTGTGTGTGAGTATGTGTGTGTGTGTGAGTGTGTGTGAGTGTGTGAGTGTGAGTGTGAGTGTGTGTGAGTGTGTGAGTGTGTGTGTGTGAGTGTGTGTGTGTGAGTGTGTGAGTGTGTGTGTGTGAGTGTGTGTGTGTGAGTGTGTGTGTGAGTGTGTGAGTGTGTGAGTGTGTGTGAGTGTGTGTGAGTGTGTGAGTGTGAGTGTGAGTGTGTGTGCGCGTGTGAGTGTGATTGTATACACTCATTCATTATTTCTGGGCTTGTCCCCATGATCAGGCAGGAAATCCACTAAACGTGGCCCTCTCTCACATTCCCCTGATCAGCTCAACAAGATGAACACCAGAGTCTTGGGTCTCCTCAGGCCGTAGTCTACCATGACATTGTCATAGAATTTGTCTTCTCTTTTTGAGAAAGGACCTCACTATGAGGCTCAGGTTGGCCTAGAAACCCTGGGCTCATGCGATCCTCCCAACTCAGCCTCTCAGGTAGCTGGGATTATAGGTGCCTGTCACCTTGCCGGGTTGTTAGAAAAATGTCCCCAAGCTCTGCCAGGCTGTGTGCTCACCTTCCAGCAGTAGAACCATCAAGCTTCTTGGGAGGGTCCTCCTGTGGCCAGGGGGAAGGAGGAAAGTGAATCTCCTGGGGAGCAGCAGGAGGGGACAATCTTGGGACCTCAGAGCTAGTGGGGGCTCCCTGGGGTGGGTGGGTGCTCTGACTCAAAGGCTCAAGCTGCTGGGTGACGTGTTACACGTTAGGATGAGGGCACCCTGTGCTCACACGGTCACTCTGTGCCAGCTGGGGACACTTATCACAGGCGTGTGGAGGAGGGGGAGGGTCCCTGCAGCCTTGCTGGATCCTTGCTCAGGGCCACAGGGGCTACACGGGAGGCAGGGATGGTCACGGCCTGTGGACATCACAGTCAGATTGAGGACACATTTCCAGGACCAGGAACCATTCAGGACTCTAGGGCCACTGTGCCAACCTGGGGTCAGGCCTAGAGCTGGCTCATGGAGGGCAGTTCCAGGTTGGCCTCCCACGGGGCAGGCCCAGTGCTGAGGACGCAGGCTCTGTGTGCCCCTCCCACTGGTGACATCCTGACCACAAGGAGGAGAGGAGGAGTGACAGGGCCAGAAGGAAGCCTGGCCCTGCAGACCTGGGGTGAGGGCAGTCCTGCCACCTTGGGGCCAGGCGGGTCCCACACACCACACCTTCCCGTCCCTGGCTTTCATAGGACAGCACAAGCCCAGGGCCACCTCGGGGGCCGCTTGGCCCCTGCATCTTCTCCATTTTCTCCCCAGCCCCAGGAACAGACTAAAGAGGACAAGTGGGAAGCAGCTGCCCCAGAGAAAAGCAGAAGTGGGAGCCCTGGAGACTGACCCTCCCCAGGGGGCTGGAGCCTGTGTCCTGTGGGGCTTGGTGCCCGGAGGTGACATCTGTGCAGGAGAAATGAGCCCCAGGGGCCTGATGGCCTGGCCCCCCTTGGCTCTGCTGCTTCTCTGGCTCCCAGGTGAGGGCCCTCTGTCCAGGGAGGGTCTGCAGAAGGGAGGGAAGGCAGGAGGGGGCCAGGAGGTGTCACGTGAGGAGCCCCAGCTGCACGTCTCTGTGCAGACGCAGAATGGGGTGCGCTGGGTCCACGATGTAAGATGGACCTGCCAAACACCACACCCCTGGGAGGGAAGGGGCAAGGGGGTCCCTCTGAGCCCACCTGACCTTGGAGGAGCCAGTGTGCTGCCCAGGACAAAGGGTGCTGCCCAGGAGGGGCTCTGACAGAGGTCTGGGGGAACCAGGACGGGGGGAGCAGGGAGGGGTGGACAGGGGTGGGGTGGAGGGGGCACCAGAGCACACCTGGGGCCTGTGTTGGGGAGGCCCTCCAGGTCCAGCAGTTTGGGGTACAGAGGAAGGAGGGGACCGAGGAGGAGAAGGCCTCCATCTCAGGGACAGGTGGGTTCAGCTAGGGCAGCTGGAGGCTGGGTGGGAAGAGTCCTGGTGGGGCCCAGGGGTCAGTGGTCCCCAGGAGGACAGGTGGGGACAGGAGAGGGAGGAAAGTAGAGGTGGCAATAGGAGATGTAGGGACAGGGCAGGTGGGGACAGTGTCAGGACCAGGCCAGGGGTAGCGTCTTGATGAAGGAGGCTGGGAATTAGCGTTGTTTACTAAACATTTATAAATGCCAATTTTACTGGTTGGTGTTTTTCTGGAAAACCACACCTTCATCCCGATCACACATTTATTTAGAGAATTTCTACAAAGTCCCCTCTGGGCTCTTATTCTCTCTACCTGTGATTACTTCCTCTCTCCATTTCTCATGTGGACTAGACAGGGTTACCTGGTTTGTTAGGTCGTGTCACATGAAGTTCCTGTTTCCTTGGTCAAGAGCAGTTGACAGCGGCTCTTCCCCTGGCTCACGAATATGAGCTGCCCAGCAGTTGACAGCCGCGATCAATCTTTCATTTTTCCTTCCCCATTTTTGTTCTTGTTTCCTGGGGCTGGTGGAGCCTGGGCCTGCTGCATGCTGGGCAGCCTCTCCACTGACCTGGCCCCATCCTATCCGTGATCTTCCATGAACCCCCCAGATGCCATGTCAGGTTGGCATGGTCACCCACCACTTTGCGGCTGGCATCTGAGGCTCAGAGGGGTCAGGCCCTTGCCCTGAGCACACAGAGGATGCAAACTAGAGCTGAGGCCCAAGCCCAGGTTCATCTGAGGCCCCTGTGGCTTCACCTTGGCAGTTGCTACTGAGCTTCTCAGAGAATGTCCCACCTGTGACAGTGTCACAAGGCCTTCTTTGCAGGTAACCTCATCCCAAGGCTGGGAGAGGGGGTCCTACTGGCTCTGAGAGAGGGATGGAGGGGCTACTGGTCAGCTGGGGGCAGCTGTGCTCTGAGGGTGCGGCCACAGTGGTCTCCCTGTGCCAGGTGCAACAGGCACTGAAGGGACAAGGAGGAGGCCTACACCCCCAGGGCTGTGCACTCAGGGGTCCCACAGTCCCAGGTGGGGGCTGTGCACTCGGGGGTCCCACCGTCTCAGGTCAGGCCTAAGGCCCTGAAGGCAAATGAATGAAGCATCCAATCCCAGGGAGAGAGCAAGCCACCCTAGTCCTGCCATCTCCCCGCCCACCGGGGCCTGACCACAGGGTCCCCAGGGCGAGAGGGAGGTGCACACGCAGATGCCCCTGGGCTGGAGCCTGGTGCAGGGTGGCCTGGTCCTCTGCCTGGAGGTGGTTAGCTTCCTGGTGCTCACCTCACCCCAGCTTTGTGTCGGAGCCTTTGGGGAAATGCACATGGAAATCTTGGGGACACAAAGGAGTTTCCTTGGAAATGAGGTCCCCAGAGCCGGGTCATCCGAGGCGAGGGAGGGGGAGAGGGTCCTGGGAGCTCTGTGGCCCTCGCTGTGTGCATCCTGTGCTGTCAGGAGTCCAGGGCTCTCATCCACATGGTCTGGGGACCCCGCTTCTGCCCTGGCTCACGTCCTGCTGGACCAGGTCCACTCTGCTGTGTCTCCGTGTCTGAGACTCACGGGTCCGGGGCCGGGGGAGGCTGTCCCAGGAGAGGGGGCTCAGGGTGCTTATGGCCCTGGGTTCTGGAAGCAGGAGGTCAGGTGGTGAGGGGGGGACTGGGATAAAGGGAGGGGCTGCTGTGTCACTGTCCTGGGTGGAGGAGCAGAAGGGGCTGGTGGCCAGGGGTGAGTGGTGGGGAGGGGGTCTGATGTGAGGTGAGGGAGGGTCTCCTGGAGGACCTGACCCAGGCCCGCCTGGTCCTGGCCCATCTGTGAGGACCTGGCCTCCAAATTTTGTTTTTCAGACTGTGTTCCTCTGAGTGGCCCCAGCAAGGTGACGGGCACCGTGGGAGGATCCCTGACCGTGCAGTGTCACTATGGCGAGAAATTCAAGGACAATGACAAACTGTGGTGCAAAAAATCACTTGTAAGTTGTAAAGATATTGTGAAGACTAGAGGCTCAGAGACAGAGGTGCGGAGCGGCCGAGTATCCATCCGCGACCACCCTGCAAACCTCAGCTTCACAGTGACCATGGAGCGCCTCACCCTGGAGGACGCAGGCTCCTATGAGTGCCGGGTAGACACACCATGGCACGAAGGCTTTGACCCCTTCTTCGAGGTTGAGGTGGCCGTGCAGCCAGGTGAGCCCCTCCCACCAGCGCCTGGGCTGCCTGGACCTGGACACCTGGGGAAGAATCAGAAAGCAACAGCTGGACCATGGGAGGGAGTCCAAGGGGGGAGCAGCCCACAGCCCGCCCAGCCCTGAGGAGCTGCCAATCAGGGAAGGAGGCGAGAGCAGAGCCTGCAGGGGAGACAGCCAGTGCCCACCCTAGGCCCTGGGGACAGGGACAGGCAGAGCTCTGTGTGGACCCCCAGGGCAGAGCAGAGGGGCAGAAGTCCTGGATGGTGCAGTGGGCAGAGGCAGCACAAGTGACAAGTGGTCTTTGCAGTTAGATATCCCTGCAGCCTGTGGCTGTGATGGGAGGGGGACGAGTCCGGGTGTGGGAGGTGACCCCTGAAGTCTCAGGAGGCCATGGCCCTCACAGCAGGACGGAATCAGCCCTGCTGGGGGTGGAACCTGTGTCCTGTACAGAATTGTCCCCAGGGTCCTGGGGAGACTGGCCTTGGGCCACCGCCTGCCCCCTTCCTCAGTGAGCATTTGGCATGAAATCAGGCCCAAGGCATCCCCCAGTGGTGGGCGGGTTGCAGGACAGACCTCTGGGTGTCATTGTAGATTTGCCACCAGCAACGTCAGGGACACTTACAAGTGTCACGACAGCGAAGACCTTGACAACCACAAGCAGAGCCCAAGGTGCACTGTCCACCAGCCTGGCCACAGAGAGTGCCACCCCTGATCCCAGGAGCCAGGACCTCTACCATGGCCAGGGCCCAGGGTAAGTGTCCTGTCCCTGACTGGGGTCTTCTCCATGGGGGCTGTGTGGTCACTCGGGGGAGGGTGTCACACCCTTGCTGGCCCAGGCCTGCTGACCCTTGGCCCCAGGCCCAGGTTGGAAGCTGCACTCTGTGTAACCTGGTTTGGGTCACTGAGGCCACCACACTGGACCTGCCCCAGGCTTCAAGGGAGGCTCAGACCAAGGAGGGGCTGGCAGAGGGGAGGCAAGTGTCCACCATTGAGGGCTGGGGCTGTCCTGCCGGATGCCCAGAGCCCCACACACTGTCGTCCGTGACTCCTCACGATGACCCCAACTTGGTCCCATGCTCATCTCACAGACTGCAAGGAGAGGTTGTGTCACCTGTCACATGGGCACAGGTGTGGGGCTGGGCTGGGCCTGCATGACCCCACAGTCTGGGGGTCTCCCCTCTAATTTGAGTGGGTCTCTATCTGGGGGTGTCGTCAACCTCACAGAGAATCTGAGCACATCTGTGGAGTCCTCAGAAAAATGAGAGCAGGCACAGGCCATTTCTGGGGGTCATGGCCTCCCCACTCTGACCTCACCCAGGGGCAGTGCTGACCACTGCAGTCCATGCAGTCCCACAGGTTAAGGGCTCTGAACCCAGGACTCCACACGAAGACACCAGCTGCACTTTGGGGCAGCCCAGGTCCCAGCACGTCTGACTAACTGGCTGCAAATGTGGGGCTCCCATGGCCCCTGGGGGTCCGTGATTCATAGACTCAGAGCTCTGCAAAATAATACGTAAGAATACGTCCATTCCCTCCCTATAAAGGCAAGGTGGAGGAGAGCGTGCTCTTGGTGATTCCAGGATACAGAACAGGGTGTCTGTGTGCGTACAGGCCTTTGTGAAAGCAGGCTTCTGGTGTGTGTGTGTGTGTGTGTGTGTGTGTGTCTGTGTGTGTCTGTGCATGCAGACACCTGTGTGTGCACACACAGCACACCTATGTTGTTCCACTGTCTCCGTGGACCCCACTGTAACAGTCCAGGTCTAGAACCTTCCAGGAGTGGGGTGGGACTGGCTGTTGGGTCCCTGGCTTTTTGTTGACTTCCTGACCAGGTGAGGGTCATGTCCTCTCCAAAGGAGACCCGTGTCTCACCTGGGCCTGTCTCCACCCTCCCTCTGGGACGGGACCCTCACAGCATTTGCTTCCCCTATAGAAGGGCACCTTCACTTGGGTCACCTACCCCCTCTCCACTGTGGATGGTCTCTGGGACACTAGCTCCTCCATGATGGTCCTGGGGTCCTTCTAAAAAGGACCCATACCACTGTGCAGGCTTCCTGACTCCTAAGGGGACTCTGCTCCTAGTGGACCTGGTGGTCCTGGGTCACAGAATCCCTTGTGGCACCACAGACCATCTCTGCTGTCATTTGAAGTCACTCTGTCCATGTCCCTGCCCAGGGCCCTGCGTCTCTGGTTTCCCTGTGTCAATCTCTACACAGTAGGCCTCACTGTGATTGTCCCCAGGAGGGAGGGGGAGCAGGAGGAGAGGGTGGTGCAGTGGACTGGCCCTGCTGCAGGGTCCTCCCAGGAGCCCCCACCCTCCTCTGGAACGCAGTCCTCCCAGTGGAATGCTCCTGCCACAGTGCACCTGGAGATGGGCGGGGTGAAGCCCTGCTCAGGCCCAGCTGTGGCCAGGAGACTGCTGGATGCAGGACGTCTGTCCAGCAGGCTCCGAGTGACCTGTCTGGGGGAGTCAGAACAAACCAGGGGCAGAGTGTGCTGACCTGTGCCTCCCCATCAGCCCTGACCACAGCCTCCAGCCCTGAGAGCCCCACAAGCACCCAGGGGCCTCCCATGTCCCTGTCAACACCCACCTGGCCCCTCATGACCAGAGAGGACACCCCCAGTCCCCACCCACAGCCTGGGTAAGGCCTGTACTCAGGGCTGCCTCTGGGTGGTGAGCGCTGTTGAGGGGCCTGGGGGGCACTTGGGTCTCCCTCCTCTGGGTTCTGCCTGCATTCACCAATCCCACCTGTCACCACGAGGCTCCTGCTAAGTTCTAGGTGGTCTTCTTGGCATTGGGACACAGTGGCCACCACCCAGACAGTCGTGCGTGGCCTGCACTGTTCTGTGGTGGGCTCAGGAGTGAACAGGTCAGCACAGTCGGTCTAGACACAGTAAGGGGGGCTGGGCAGACTGGTCCTGGGTGGGGGTGAGAGTGGAGGGGGTGGGGGATGTGTCACGGGACCATCAGGGGAGGCCTTGCTGACTAGGGCCATGTGAGAGGAGCCTGCAGGGCTGGGGACAGGCACCTGGGATCTGGAGAGAGCGGCCCAGGCAGAGGGAAGAGAGAGCACAAATGTCCTGCCCAAGGGCCCCAGGACCTGCAGGGCAGGGAGCAGGTGCTAGGTGGCCCCGGCACTCTCTGTCCTCTGCCTCCCTCCCCGCGCCTGGTCACAAGTGTCAGCCGGTTTTCCTGACCCGGTCCTCTGAGGCAGGTGGGGCTGAGCTGGGGCTGGGCCATTCCGTCAGCAGCCGGGAGTCCACAGCTCGTGCGGCCTGTACAAGAACGGCTGTGGCCACTTGTTGTGGGTGAACACAGAGTCCCCTCTCCCTGGAAGGTGGAAATGCCAACACATGGCAGGTTGCAGACTCCCACACCCAGGGGGTAACCCCCAGATGTGGCAGGGGAGGTAGAAATCCCTCCCTGGACCCGGGTCCCTGCTAGACGCCTGGGCTCCCCTCACATCTTTCCTGTGCCCATGCCCTTCCTACATGCTGAGTCCAGGGCCCTTCTTGGGGTGTCTAGTGGGGACTGAGATGTTTAATGTGGGACTGCCTTGGTCAGGGTTGGTCTTCATGGGGACTCCAGGGGACAGGACCAGGGTGTAAGGGACAGTGGCAAAGTGCAGGGCACTGTGCCTCCCTGTGAGGAGACAGCTCACGGTTCCCATGTCCCCCGCAGGCCCCTGGTCATCAGTGTCTACCTCCTGCTCCTGGCCTTGAAGGTGCTCCTGCTCCTGAGCATGCTCAGTGCTGTCCTCTGGGTGAACAGGCCTCAGAGAAGCTCCAGGTCCAGGTGACGGCAGCATGACTGTGAGAACCAGTGACCTCTGCTGTCCTGAGGCCACCTCCAGGGACACCCCCTGCTGGAGGAGGGGACAACTCCTGACTTATCTGCATTTCTATTAGAACCCTCTGAGGCCTTTGTGACCTTCTAGAAGCCTTTCCTTGGCTCATCACACACATGGACAGGCGTGTCTAGTGCGTGCACTTCCAGCCAAGGCCACTGCAGCCCGTGTGCCCAGCCTGTCACGGGGCATCGCTGACGTGATGCAGCCCTTCTGGTCTCTTGTGCCTCCTTCCTACCCTCCTGGGCGCCCTAACAGGGCTGCATGCTCCTCCTCCACCTGCTTGAAGGTCTGCACTGCCATGCGTATGCTCCCAGGGCGCAAGGTTTAGCTTTGCTCATTGTTGAACTTCACATAAACAGGATTTTATGTTCATGTTGGTCTTCCTCCTCCTGGTGTCGGTGATGGGACACAGGCCGCGTACAGCTTGGTGTCCATCTCTGAGCTACACCCAGCCCTGATGCGCCCTTGAGTCCCGAGTCCTGTGATGGCCACTGGTCATTGGACCTGGGGACTCGTCCACGTGGAGGTGTTGCTGCCCGGATGTGCCGGGCGTTTGTTTCTTCTTTCTCTTCTCGTCCTTTTCTCTCTTCCTCCTGTCCCTTGTCCTCTGATGCGTCTCCTTCCCCTCTCTCTCCCCCACCCCCTCTTCCTCTCCTCTCCTCTCCTCCTGTCCTCTTTGGCCCCCCTCTTGCTTTCTCTCTCCCCCTCTTCTTCCTCCTCCCCCCATCTTCCTCTTCTCCTTTTTATTTATTGAGTTTTTGCCTCTATCACTCACAATGCTGCCCCCAACATCCCTGACCCTGTTCCCTGGCCCATGTTCCACATGTCTCTGGAGCCTGGCCCTAGGCCTTACTGCCCCTGTGACTCCACTCTACCAGGCCCTTCCCATCCACTTCCAGGTCACTGTACCCACCCCTCCCCCAGCAGCCGACCCCTCCCTGAACCTGCCAGACTCCCCATTCCTCCCTGTTAGTGGGTGGGAAGTGGCATCTGGCTGTGTCCATCTGTCACTCCTGCCCACCTGTGTGACTTAGATTTCATCTTTTGTCCACTTCTATTTTCTGTTGTGGGGCTGTGTTTTCATATTGATTGTAGATTTGTAGAAATTCTTTACAAGTCCTTTGCTGGCAGCTGTAGAAACTGTAAAATTTGGGGGCCAACAGAGGTGAGGCAAAGAACCTCACCCCCCCACAGGTGCAAAGGCCTATCCACAAGTATGGCTGTATGCTGGACCGGTAGTCAGTGACGGGTATGATCCAATTGCAGTGGTACCAACCTAAGACAGGAGGCTGACGCCTAGAGGTCAGTTCATCCGATGACGGGTAAGGACCATATGTTGAATTGGACTGCCTAACAGGCACGGTCCCTAAGCCACATGCTTGTTGTTTAAACAGAGAGGGGGAGATGTTGAGAGCCACAGCCAAAGGGGCCCCAGCAAACTTCCAGCTGCCAGCAAACTTCCAGCTGCTGGCTGATGATTGGCTCACAGCGGCCCCAGCAACATCTAGCTGATTGGCTCCTCGGCCCCAGCAACATCTAGCTGATTGGCTCCTCTGCGGTGATGCTCATTGGACTGTTCCCTGCCCTTTCAGACCACGGAGCTGCTCATTGGGGGACTTTTTTGGCTCCGCCCACGTGACCCAGCCAATCGGCCTCAAGAGCAGGAGGATTGTGGGAGGTGGAGAGAAGCTGGTGTGGGAGAGAGAGGCTTGTGGAAAGCCGGTGGTGGCAGTTGAGGCTCTGAGGGTTTTTCCTGAGAGACTATTTTGTTTGTCGTGTGTGGTTCTAAAAATAAAGTTAGTTTCTTTTGACAAGTGGCTCCTGATTGTGCCCAGCCAGACTGCGGCATTTGGTGGCCCGTACGGGGAACGACTGAGGGTAAGTGAAACTGCTCGCCCCTGAGGGCAGGGCGAGAGGATGGGTAGCCATTTTAAGATTCTTCTTTTGTTATTTTGTTTCACTTTTGTTTTAAGTTGCCTGTCCCTGGAGATGAGTGAGACGGAAGAAAAACCGCTCACATCTGAGGAAAAACTATTTACATCTGAGGAACAGATAGGGAGAAAGGACGGATGCCCATGTCAGGAGGATAGAAAGGCTATAATGACTTTTTGTTGTTCCCTTTTTATTTCATTCTGTCTCGGTTTTGTTTGGCGTCATCTTGTTGGGTTGTATTATAGTAGAGATACGGGATCAGAAATTAGTAAAAAACAAACTGAAAGAGTGTTAAGTAAATTGTTAGAGGAAGGAGGCATCTCAGTAAAATGAAGAACAATCAGGGCATACGTTGATACAATACAAAAATGTAGCCCATGGCTTTTTAAGGAGGAGTTGTTAAATATATCACAATGGAACCATCATGGTGAAGATTTAAAAAGAATAGAAAAGAAAAGCCCAGGGACTCTGCCAGTTGGCACATTGCCATTGTGGACGTTCATATCTTGTTTGCTTAGTCCAAAGCCTTCAGTTCAGACAATGGTAGAGGAAGAAGAAGACATAATGATTCAAGTAAAAGAGAAGGTCTCTCAAGTTAGTCAGACAGAGGAAAAGATTCAAGTAAAAGAGAAGGCCTCTCAAGCTAGTCAGACAGAGAAAGAAAGTGTAAAACAGAAAAAGCCATCAGGGGGAAAGTTACAACAGGAGACTGCTACTAACACCTTTCTATCACCAGAGGGTGTAAGTGTCCAACCAACAGCACCACCTCTACAGGAGACTGCTACTAACACCTTTCTATCACCAGAGGGCGTAAGTGTCCAACCAACAGCGCCACCTCCATATGCTGGGAGGCCCCCAACCCCCGCAGTTGATAGTTGGGATCCTGAGACAAGGTCTCAAATATTAACATGCCCTGTATTTGAGGCAGGAGGGCAGCGATTTTACCAAGTTTTAAATTTCAAAACAGTGAAGCAGCTAAAAGAGGCTGTAACAACCTATGGTCCTCAAGCACCCTTCACTGTAAGCTTGGTCGAATCCATTAACAACTTGAACATGACGCCAGCAAATTGGGCTAATATGTGTAAAGCTGTGCTAAATGGAGGACAATACCTGTTATGGAAGGTTGCCAATGAGGAATTTTGCAAGGAGACGGCTAGGCGAAATGCAGCAGCTGGTTATCCTCAGAGAAATCTAGATATGTTGTTAGGAAAGGGACCTTATGAGGATCAGCAGCAACAAATTGCATATGATCCTGGCGTATACGCACAAATTGCTGCAGATGCAATTAAGGCATGGAAGACTTTACAAGGACATGGAGGTTTACAAGGTCAATTATCTAAGGTAATACAAGGAGCTAATGAACCTTATGCTGAATTTGTAGATAGGCTTATTCAAACAGCTACCAGAGTTTTTGGGAATACAGAACAAGCAATGCCATTACTAAAACACCTGGCTTATGAGCAAGCGAATCGTTGGTGCAGAGATATCATTAGACCATGGAAACATGAAGATTTAAACACATATATTAAATTATGTAGAGACATTAATGAACAAGAGCAAGTCATGGCAGCTGCAGTAAAACAGGCTTTAGATGCCAGAGACATTAATGAACAAGGGCAAATTGTGGCAGCTGCAGTAAAACAGGCTTTAGATGCCAGGCCAAGAACATGCTACAATTGTGAACAAACAGGACATTTTAAAAGGAATTGCCCCATTGGAGGAGGGTTTAACAAAACTAGGTATCAAAGGAGTAGAATACCAGGTATTTGCCCACGATGCCGTAGAGGGAGACATTGGGCTAATGAATGCCGTTCTCAAACCACCATAGAGGGTACTCCATTATCAAAAAACGAACAAGGACCAGGTGTTTATCCACGATATCGTGGAGAAAGGCATCGGGCTCCATTGCCAAAAAACGGACAGGGGGGCCCAATGCTCCGGGGCCCAAAACCACAAATATACGGAGCACTGGAGGAACCCAGCAACCCCATCAGGGTAGTGCCCAGGACACATTGTCCATCAGATCCCTCATCAGACAAACCAGAGGGAGCGCAGGGTTGGACATCTGCGCCTCCACCCGAGCAGTACTAACTCCAGAGATGGGAGTTCAAATCATTCCCACAGGGGTGAAAGGACCTCTTCCCAAAGGAACAGTAGGCTTATTATTGGGACGCAGCTCTTCTACTCTAAAAGGACTTATGATAAGTCCTGGGGTAATTGATCCCGATTATGAAGGTGAAATAAAAATTATAGCCAGTTCTCCAAAGGGTATATCAGTAATTTCACCAGGAGATAGAATAGCACAGTTACTAATAATACCCAGCCTACATGATAAATTTTCCAGTCGTACTGTAGAAAGAGGTTCCAAGGGATTAGGCTCCACAGGTGTAGATTGGGCTATGCTTTCTTTAAATTTAGATTCTCGCCCCATGCTAAAACTAAATATTCAAGGACATGAATTTAATGGGCTACTGGATACAGGTGCAGACCTTAGCATCATCTCTCGTCAAGAATGGCCAAAACATTGGCCATTACAACAAGCCACTCAAACGCTTCGAGGCCTAGGAGTGGCGACTAATCCCCATAGAAGTGCAATGGTATTAGATTGGAAGGATCCTGAAGGATGTGAAGGAACTATACAGCCATATGTATTGGATCATCTTCCCGTAAATTTATGGGGACGAGATGTCCTAGATCAATTAGGTTTGACATTAACAAATAACATCAACCAAAATGCACCCACTATTATGACTAGACAAGGTTTTAGGAAAGGAAAAAGATTAGAAAAACAAGAACAAGGTATAGCAGCACCAATACAAATAGATCAAGGAACAGACAGACATGGGTTGGATTTTCAGAAAGGGCCACTGAGACAATAAAAATTACTTGGAAATCAGAAAGACCAGTATGGGTTCCTCAGTGGCCCCTGACTAAAGAAAAGATACAAGCAGCCCATGACCTGGTCAAACAACAATTAGCAGAAGGACATATACAACCTTCTGTGTCTCCCCATAATACTCCCATTTTTGTCATCAAAAAGAAATCTGGTAAATGGAGATTATTGCAAGATTTAAGAGCCATTAATAATGAGATGGTTATTATGGGACCTGCTCAATCAGGGATTCCTCAGTTGTCTGCTTTGCCAAAAACCTGGTATGTTTTAGTTATAGATATTAAAGATTGTTTTTTTTCAATTCCAATTCATCCTGAGGATAGTCCACGTTTTGCATTTACTATCCCTGCACTGAATCATGAAGGTCCTGATCAGAGATATGAATGGAAAGTACTCCCTCAAGGGATGGCTAACAGCCCAACTATGTGTCAAATTTATGTTAACAAAGTAATCCAGCCACTTAGAAATCAAAATCCTGAACTACAAATATTTCACTATATGGATGATGTATTATTAGCACACAAAGATAAAAACACATTGCTAGAAT